TACAAGAGCACAAAAACGTAACAAGAGGATAGCACTTTCCTTCCTTCCTTCCTTTCTTTCTTCCTTTCTTCCTTCCTTTCTTTCTTACATTGCAGGGATAGTACTAGCAACATAAGCACATGAATTAATAGCAATTGCCCCTCTAAGTGATTTCACCGTTCAGATGTATTTATTAGCAATGCAAAGACATCGTTGATGTCTTGGTTTCAATAACTATGCAGAGTTTATTGTTGTTCTTTTAGGTTATTACACATAAAAAGAACAGCAGGTTTGGTATACATACATGCAGTCCTTAACTGCACTGACATAATGTTTGAAAGCATTAAACGGAAGAGGAAAAATGTGATTTTCAGTGATTGTTATGTTATGTCTGAATTCAGGTTTCAACAATCATCCCTCAAAAATCTGCGTCAGGCTGGCGGGCGGTCACTAGTGGGGTCCCTCAAGGCTCCATTTTAGGGCCGGTACTTTTCAATATTTTTATAAACGATCTGGATGTAGGAATAGAAGGTATTTTGAGCAAGTTTGCCGATGACACCAAACTTGGAGGAGTTGTGGACTCGAATGAGGGTGGAAAGGCCTTGCAGAGGGATCTGGATAGGTTGGAGAGCTGGGCGATCGCCAACCGCATGAAGTTCAATAAGAGCAAGTGCCGGGTCCTGCACCTGGGACGGGGAAACCCTGGCTGCACGTACAGACTGGGCGATGAGACGCTGGAGAGCAGCCTAGAAGAGAGGGATCTGGGGGTCGTGGTAGACAGCAAGTTCAATATGAGCCAGCAGTGTGCCCTGGCAGCCAGGAGGGCCAACCGTGTCCTGGGGTGCATCAAGCACGGCATCGCTAGTAGGTCGAGGGAGGTGATTGTCCCGCTCTACTCTGCGCTGGTGCGGCCTCACCTTGAGTACTGTGTGCAGTTCTGGGCACCACAGTATAAAAAGGACATGAAACTGTTGGAGAGTGTCCAGAGGAGGGCTACGAAGATGGTGAAAGGCCTGGAGGGGAAGACGTACGAGGAACGGCTGAGGGCACTGGGCCTGTTCAGCCTGGAGAAGAGGAGGCTGAGGGGAGACCTCATCGCAGTCTACAACTTCCTCGTAAGGGGGTGTCGAGAGGCAGGAGACCTTTTCTCCATTAACACTAGTGACAGGACCCGCGGGAACGGGGTTAAGCTGAAGCAGGGGAAGTTTAGGCTTGACATCAGGAGGAAGTTCTTCACAGAGAGAGTGGTTGCACACTGGAACAGGCTCCCCAGGGAAGTGGTCACTGCACCGAGCCTGACTGAATTTAAGAAGAGATTGGACTGTGCGCTTAGTCACATGGTCTGAACTTTTGGGTAGACCTGTGCGGTGTCAAGAGTTGGACTTGATGATCCTTAAGGGTCCCTTCCAACTCAGGATATTCTATGATTCTATGATTCTATGAAAAATGGCTAGTGAAGACAGGCAGCTTTCATGTGTTCCAGCTAGAGCAGTGGCTGCTGGGTACTCTGTGAGCCAGCTACAGTTAGAACAAACATCCTTACTTTTTTACTCCTCACTCCACAAATCACCTACCAAAACTATATGTTTTGTTGTTGTTGTTGTTGTTGTTGTTGTTTTGTTTTGTGTGTGTGTGTGTGTGTCCCAGTATCAGAAGATACTGTAATACATATAAAAACATCAGAAGATACTGTAATACATACAAAAACATATTACAGCTGTACCAACCAGTATTAATCAGAATTTTTTGTGGCAGAAGGATCATTCTTGATTGCATAGTTTCATTTTAAAAGAGGAATTGAGTTATTTAACATTTCCCCTTGAGATCATTTTTAGAAATATTTTATAAGCACGATCATGTAGTTAAACAAAGCTAAACAGGAATTACAGGTGGAGAAGTGATTTTTGAGACAAAGACATGGTCCCAGTAAGTTAATTTAAATTTGCATGATCAACAATCAAAGATCTAGGATGAGAACCCACCTTAATTAAGCTTTTTTTTTTCTTTTCTTTTTTTTTTTTTTTTTTAATTCCCTGCCTTGTGCACACTTATGGCCTTATTTATATAATGACAGAAAATATCATGTACTCATAACTACTCTTTACAGCAGAGCCATTGTGCAGATAACCTACTTGGGGCTTTGGATTTGCAGAGGGAAGTGTAAAATAGTAAGCTGACTATGCTAGACAAGATGGGAAATTAAGATTTAGACCCAGCACGGAGAAATGAATGAGTGGGTTGTCTATACACTCATTTACTATAGAAAGGATTTTGTTTTTCCCCTGTGGAAAACTGTATTTGCTACAGCTGACAAGAATAAGATGCAGCAGCTCAAGAAAACATTAGTGAATATTTTAGCATCAACTGCAAAAATAATATGGAAAAGTCATATTGTTAGGGAATTTTTATTGCCCCCCTTGAGAGATATTAAAAAACATGTTTTGTACTTAAATATAGAAAGTTGTAATGAACAGTGCATTGGACAGAGTCTTACTGCTGCAAGCCATTCTGCAAGGAGTCTGCAAAGATACATATCATCCAATTCATTACATTTATTTGCCCCAGCACCAGTCCTGTGAGCATCAGCCTGGAACACCATAGCCTGGCCTTGGCTTCATGTGCTAACACCGAGTGCCCTTGAACACTCCTATTTCACCGTTGCTACAAAACAAATCTGTGGCTGTTTCTTGTATCATTGTGAAAGAAAACTTCACTCCCTTACAAGAAGTCCTTCTGTCCCTGGTTTTCCCAATTCCAGCCAGTTTCACCCTTTCTGTAGTCAGGTCTTCTTGCCCTCCATACCACATCATTCCTCAGTCACACATTACCATTGCTGAGCAGTTAAAATTTGAATTTCCCTTTCAGTATCCTCTTAGTACTTTTGCTTTCCAAGATTTAAATGAATGTCTTATGGACACTTTACATTCCACCATCCCAAGTATTAGAGCTCTTATCATAGAACAGACTTCATCTTTGAGACTTTGTCATTTGCAGGATGTAACTGACTGGCATCCTCTGTGAGCCACACAGTAATGCTCTGCTGATGAGCCACCTGTACCCCATAGACTGTGCAAATTGACAGGAACATTCTGAAAGATCAATAAAGTGAGATCCCAGAAAAGCAAAAAGCCACATTCACGTTAAACTGAAGATTTTTCTCTGTAGTCTGAACCTTTACCATCTTTGAATATCTTATAAATATATGAGAATTCACCTTTCTTGGAGAAAGAAAGCTCCTTTTATAACAGAGCTATATGGCATTTTCTGTGCAGAGTAAGCAATCTTAGAATTTTTGATACATGGGATGATGTATCAAAATGATGATGGGATAACATAATGTACCCTGATGAAAAAAAGTATATATATTATAAAGAATAATGAATGCTTAAAAGGAGACGAGAGGGGATGGGAGGGGAAGAATATTTAATTAAGCTGTTTTTTAAGTTTGCTTACGTTGAAGATAACTGTTTCATCTCTTATGATCTAGTTAGCCTTTCCTTCTATCTATATAGGTCAGTCTAGAAAATGATGGAGAAAAAAATGAAAAAAAAAAAAAAAAAAAGTGAATTCTGATTGTAGAAAAAGTTTAATGGTGATAATAGGGTAGCTTAAATAAATATTTTTTGCTTTAACCTACCCTTCCCACCATAATTCAACTCCTGCATTGTAATGGAGATTTCCCACTGATCCAGCTCCATTAAATAAAATCACTCGAGCTTTTCAGATCAGAGAGGAAACATATCTTCACTTATATGCCTCCAAGTGATGTGGCAAAGCCTTTTACTTCCCTCTCTTTTCTCTCTTTTCGCTGCTTTCTCATTTGAGGTATCATATATCCCATGGCAGTCATATACACAGTTCTGTAAGTCTACAGTTTTCAGTTTTCAGTTTTATTTGGCGGCTATTCACAGGCTGGTTTTACTCCTTTTTTTGCCTGACTATGATTCCTGCAGAGTAGCAATCAGAATCTGGGCTGTAATTTCTCAGCCACCTGAAGCTGCCTAGGTGAATGGAAGAAAAACAACACTACTAGACAGAACGGAGTATTATAAATGCTTTTGATTCAAGAAGAATTTGGTGCATGGAATCAAGTATATGAGTTCAGGAAACTTAAACAATATACATCTGGGTTCATAGGGGTTGGTTTGAGGGTCAGCTATCTTCAAGACGTCTTGTTTAAGAGTACCTGAATGCAACACCAATTCATCAGAGATAAGGTTAGAATGATGCTATATAAAATGTTTATACTTCCATTACAAATGCTGGTGATATCAAGATCTATCAAATTATTGTCTGGGTTTTTTCAGTGTTTATTCACTGGTGCAGTGAACCTGTTTTCTTTTTCTTTGTATTTTGATCTTATGTTTGTTTTTGACAGTAGTTTACCCTCCTGCACACAATAAGGAAACAAGAAAGCTTAACAACCCACCCACCTAACACGCCTAGTGACTAGTCTGTCTAGGATCTATGTGTAAATGAGAGAAAGAGAACTATCTAGCAAATGAATTGGGATACACAACTTTGTCCCCTATCTGAATTTATTCCCTGGAGGAATATTTACACCTTTTCAGATATATATGCACACTACCCTCCAATCTCAAAGTTGGGTGCTAGGTGGTATGAAAGTCCACCATGATCTAAAGCAATGCATGAAGAGGTGATCTGCATTCTTAATTCCATATTTCAATTCTAAAACTGTATTTTCTGATTTTTGATTAGTGACTTTCCAGGTTTAAGGGGGGATGTTGTATGTGGGAGGTTTTTACAGCAAAGTACAAACCAAGTGCTATGACCTGATGGATAAATAATGCTGTTAGGTCCACCTGTATACAAAGACTCAGTAGCATTACCTCCATGTTCAATTTAGCACAAAATCTCCAGTAACAAACCTCACATTTCTGTTTGTAATATCTAAAGAATCAATTCTAAATGCACTTAATCTGTTTCTGTGAGGTCTCCACTCACCCACAGACATTTAACCAATCATTACTGAAGCTGCTTCTAATGCTCTAAATGCCTGATGAGCTTCAGGCCATGGCTATTTAATTATTGAAGAAGTGTTTTAAGAAGTGACAGAGAAACATTGCCTTCTTCCTTGATGTATTACACTCTTACTGTGGCCTGATCCAGAAAACAAGGAGGTCTGTATAAGTATTTACACAAACCAGGGCAAATCATTATTCAGGCTCAGCGCTGTTTTTTTTTGTTTGGTTGGTTGGTAGGTTGTTTTTTTTTTTTGTTTTGTTTTGTTTTGTTTTAAACAGTCTCCTTCTCTTGCTTTTGCCCTCATAGTTTTCTATCTACACTTGCAGCCTGATCTGATTCTACTGAATAATTGATTGTATGGTATCATATCATTCCAAGTGCATCCTCATTTCCCACTTCTTTTTTATATACAGTTTTTGTTGCTGTTTACTTTTTAAACTGTTAAAAGTTTTTTGCTTGCTTGTTTTCCCTATTGCCTTTAGTACTAATCAAAGAGTACTGAGTGTACTGTTCAGGGCTGTTGGGGATAGGAGAAAGAAGAGAGAAAAAAAAAGGGTGGGGGGTGGGGAGAAGGAGTAATGAATTTTAATTCTCTGGCTCCTGTAAAGTTTTGCTTCTAGTGCTCACATTTCATGCTTTACAGGTGAATGTATTTTATTCCCATGATCTCTACAAGTCTGTTCACACACACTGAAGATCACTCTCCAGAGTACGGCCCTTCCAAGCCAGTATGTAAACAACTCTTTCATAAATTAGGGGTCTTCTCAGCCTAATTGCTTCTCTTGTACATGTTTTGAGGAGTTAATGGAAGAAAGTGCTACTCCATCTCTGCTCACAGATTATAAAATGTGTTTTGCTGTTATCAACAACAGGTGAAGAAAACTGCACTATTGTGGATCAGGTCAATTACTTCTACATGTAGTCTTATCACGTGGTAATCACTGCAGTGCCTGAATGCCTCTGGCAGTACATTAAGCAGCACAAAAGGTCTGTCACATTTCGTCCACTCAGCTTCAGGAGTCTGTTAAGTGAACTGTTGCATAATAGGCAAAAGTATAGCCTATAGTTGGGTTTCTTTGTGTGTGTGTCTTTAATATAGCTATCTTTAAAATTAAGTTTTATAATTTCCTGGAACCTCCTGCTAGATCAGTCAGTCTAAATTTCATCTACTGCAGGTTGTCTCTCTCCTTGAAGAGCTCCATTATGTCAGTCAAGCAAAACTACTGGGGACAGTTTTCATCTAGTTTTTCTAGATAACATCAGGTCAGGCTACGGAGAATTTGGATGAAGATTGTTTATAGCGGTAATATTCTATAGAAAATCCATTCAGAGAATATAAAGATTGCAGTGTTCAAGGAAACAAGACTGTGTTGTGCTTCACTTTTTGTAGAATACAGAATATAGAATTTCACGTGAGCGTCCGTTTTACACATTTACCAGCAGGAGTTCAGAACAAGGCTAGCGGCAAATAAGCAAGTTCATAGAGATTTTAATTTCTGTTATTTGCTTTTTATATCTGTAAAGGAACATGAAATATTTCTTCAGAAATATGTCACTGTGCTCAAGCGACTCTCTTATGCATATCTAATGGAGAATAGTCCAAGTGATAAGTTAGTAAATGTGTCACAAGCTGATGTTTGCAGTTCCAGCTAGGCTCCATATGCACATTTAGGTGTCTAAATACACTTTGTAATCTAGCCCTCAGCTATCTAGGCATTCAAAAGTGAGACTCAGAATTTCGTGTCAGTTGCACGGTTTTGTATAAACTACCTTAAATATATTAAAATGTTTTTCCTATAAACACTTGTGGAAGTGCATAGCTGATATTTATTTATTTAAACTTTCTGACATTATGTCTCTATAAATATTTTAAAATATACTAAAAGAATACTGAATTTAATTTAAATGTAATTATTTGATAAAAGTTCTGTATATTCATTACACAGAAAGAATATGTAGTTTCATTGGTAATTACTGTCACTTTCTGTAATTCATATCTGGCATGTGTTTAAAATATTTTTTTTATATCATAATTTTTTGTTGTGTCTGCTAATTAGGACAAGCATGAATGCTATTTACTCATTGAAATTAAGAAAAAATAATATAGTCACCTATTACCCCTTATCATCATTTCATAATTGTAATGGTGTTACAAGATGAACACTTTTTTTTTTTTCTGTTAAAGAGATCAGATTTTCCTGCTTTGTGCAAAACAATTGGATACACAGGTATGACACACATAAGCTTTTCTATAAATTGCAGGATCCCGAAAGATTGCTGTTAGAAACTTGTAGATGCAACTTATGTGAATTTATCCAAGGGCAAAGTGGTCACCATGAGCTATCTGAAATGTTTATGTGTAATACCTTACTACTGCTTTTGAAGGTGAAATGCACATGCAGACCAAAAGACACAGTAGAGTCTGTGACTGTTGAGCTTAGTAGTGTCTTAAATTGGAATCATAATTTTTCATCCATAATAGCATAAAATATTACAATGCTTCCTTTGTTTCACAAAATTCTTCGCCTTCACAAGAGGTGATTGATAAATACCAATTACTAATATTATGTATATTTAATAGTCTTGTAAATTTTAATTTTATAAAGAAAGGTAAAAGTTAAAAAGGAATAACACAAAATATTTTACTCACAGCAAATAATTTACTTGAAGCCAGGAAACAAACAAAAACACAACAAATAATTAAGCCTGTTACAAAGCCTAAGAAATAAAGGACTTACAATCTGCATCAGAAAATACTCCCAGAAAACAAAGAAGCAAATTAAAATTGAATTTTTATCCTTCAAAATATTCTCAAGAATCTATGTAACCCATCAAGTTTCTGAGATGTAAGTGAATTGCATAGTGAAAAGCACAACTGAATTCTGTGACACAGAAACACAGGTACTCTAGCAGTAGATCTAGAGATACCTTTTTAAAGGTTTATATGCTGGTATTTATCCTTCTGAAGCTTCTTCATCACAAGGTTTCCCTTACGCACATTTTTTTTTTTTTTTATTTGATCCTATTTGTTATTTTCCTATTACTGCATTAATGTAAAGCTGGTCATTTGATGCAGTTCCATCTGTTAAGTATTTCACAATAAGATTTTCATGTTAATTATGTCTTTGCACCCATCCATATAACTATGACTGGAATCCAGCACATGAGTTCCTTTTATCGCTTTATCTTCTCAGTTAGAACCAGGAGTTGCAAGGCCAGGAGAGGAACCCACCACATACATACAAATAGCAATGGGAATGTCATCGCTGTCACCTCCAACATTTCTCCAAAGGAGGACTGTACTCCTCAACAGAAGGCTGTAGTCAAGCAGAAAGCAAGGTCAGGAGGAAAGGCAGCATAAAACTCCACTGGCAGCCAGCATGATGGTTTTGTTTAGAGCTCAGTTTGAGTCCAATCTTTTGTATGAGAGCTTAGTAAAAGCTGAAACATTTGAGTGGAATGTTGTTGTTCTAGGTGACTAAGTAACTTCCAGCATTTAAACTCAGACAGCTGAAGTTCCTCTCTTAACTGGGTCTCAGTAGTTTCCAGTCTGATAAAGCTGTGACAACTGGGTGAGGCTAAATCTTGAGCTGCACCACTGTTCATCATTAGCAAATCTACCCATTCATTTTGTTTATTATGGACTACGGGTTATGAGTTAATATATTTTGGGATGTCCTCTGTCTGGAAGTAAATGTTATTCTTTGCATACAAAATCAGGTATTACTGAGCAGATGTAATAAAAATATTTAAACAGATACCTGAATTGCAGGTATGGATCTTCCAACATTCTATATTTATTGCACATCTTTTCTGTAGATAGTTTTGCTTATTTATCTTGTAAAAATGTGCATTTTGAATTTTTATAACATAACTTACCTATTCCATTTCCAAATCTGTCATCTTTGGAATATCTCTGGAAAGTTATGACACTAATTATAAAGAAACCATTGAGTTATTCCAGCTTGAAAAACAATGGAATTTACAAAGAGGTCCACACTCCAGAAGGTGGGGTTCTTAGGAGCTGACATATAACATCAATGTAGACAGAACCTTGGTATACAATATTCTGCATGTACATATGTGCATGCATGTCTTCAGTAAGATAATGTACAAAAAATAAAGCCTATAAACATAATGTAAGACACAAAAGTTGGAACAATTTTTAATGATGGAAATAAAGAAAGCATGGGAGACAAGAGCTTTATTTGTTCAGTGGTGTCCTAATAATTTTTTTTATTATTATTTTTTAAGCAAAGAAATATAGCACAGAAAGAAAAAATAAGCCACAGAAAGAGAAGAAAGAATGAAAGTAATGAGCATGAATTCTCCTGCACTTTCTAAATACCTTATGTTCTGAGGTTTTTGCATTGGTTCTTATGTTTTTTAAATCAAAACAAAAATGAAAAACGTTGCTGCAAGTACACTATAACCCTAATATAACTTCTGTACAGAAAACCTGAGAAGAAAATTCTCGTATACTGTATGTTTCTTCATATGAAAAATATCATTCAGGTAAATATCTTCTGTGGAACATCGGACTTTGGATCTTTCTGTTAGCAAGATAGGAACAGAGAAGACTAGAATGAGACTGTTGCATATTATTAACCTGTAAAGACAAAAATCCAGGGATATTCATTGTCAGATTTCTGAAAGTTCAGACAGTTCAGGCGGCTATAGTCAATTCTACCAGGCAACTTGAAGAAAGTATCACACCTACTTCTTATCCTAGCCCTTTGAGTTGTTCTGGATCTTTAAAACACTATGAAAGAGTAAGCCACTATGTACCCTGGCAATATGTTCAGAAATTTGTTTTAAGTAAAAAGGAAGCATATCTTGAATACAGAGCCATGAATTTTATAGTGATACTAGTGATATTACTATGGGTGATTCCAATGTAGGTTTATATTAGTTAAAATGATGCCCACACAACATAACAATAATTGGAACTGCTCAATTGAAACAAAAAGGGCAGTAGTATCACCAAAAAAACATGCAGTTCTATGTCTGAGCTTTTTTCTCACTGTCATGGGCACACATTGTTTCCTGGTCCCTGCCTGTGTCACTTAGGCAAGTGCAGGGGAATGTTAGCTGTGGTGATCTGTTAACTCAGTATTCATGGTGTTACCTTCTCCAGGTCCTTCTCATTTTTTGCATTTGCTTGAGGCTTTAAATGCTGACATTAATAAATATGCTTCTTTTCTGTTTGTCTGCTGTTCTATACTTTTAGAATGGTTTTCTTATCATTGTTTGATGGATCTTTGATATATATGGTACAGTGTAGTACTACTGTTAGTGGTGAACATTAAATCAAACAATTAAGCATTAGTAAAATTATATATATATAATTATATAAATAGTTACAATTTAGTAAAACAAGTTTGAACAACTCCAAAGATTAATAGCAGTGAGCAAGGCCTGCAATTTAACAACAATCTCCATTTGTTTTTGCTAGTAGACTGTAGCCACATAATTGCTTCATAGCTAGTGCAACACACAATTTAAAATGTTGGGCTATACTAAGACCCTGCTGGAAGAACCCAAATGGAAGAAAAAAGGTTGTTCAGTGTGTTCATGACAAAGGGGAAGTGCAATGTCTGGGGTCTACTTTCCATGTCAATACTGCTAGAAATTCCCAGAATGGAGTAACAGTAGCAGCTTAAACCAACTTAAAATTCTCAATTTTCCTTGAATGTATTTGGCCCTTTCCCATGAGAGTGTAAATAAATACAAAGGGGAGAGGAGGGTACTTTCAATTCACTTAGGAGAGTATTACTGTTACATTAGTAATACTTGGCATTCTGCCCTCAAATTTAAGAACAACTCATTGAAAATATGTAAAGAAACCAGGAGTTTTGCATTGTCTTTGGTGGAAAGTAACCTTAGGGAGTAAATATTAGTGCTCTGGAAAGCTTCTGCAAGTATTTCACTTGGGGGTGATATATTTTATCCTGATTTGTACTCCAGCAATAATACTATCAAACAAACAAATTTTTGAAAAGGCCACCACCATCTGGTGATTAATATTGGTTTGCAACACAGTGATATTTCTTGTCAAGTGAACCTTTTCTGAATCAATATCAGTTTAGAAGTCCCATCTATTATAAGTAACAACCTTTTACTAATTCAGTGTTTTCATTCCCTTGAGTTTGTTGCAACTTTATTTACCATTTCAGCAAACCTGCTCTGACATTCCTAACATCCTAACTAGTGCATGCATAATTAACCATAAGCAAACAGTGTCAGGAAAATTAATAATGACAGTCAAAGCAATAAGGCTATTTTCTCATCTCTGTTGCCCATACACATTCAGAAAGCATTCTTAAACTTTAACATAGTATAGTACCTGACGATATCATAAAATTAGATGTATTTCCAAGACAAAACAGTACTGAAGAGGCTTAATGGAAAATGTGTCTATGCCTTGGGTTTATCTATACTATAGCTGTATATAGATATATATGTATTATATCTATGTTGCAGCTCTGAAATAATTTAAAATTGAGTTTTCTAAATGTGTCTTTTCTCTACCTTTCTGCCTCTGAGATAGGAAGCAGCCATTATGAATACACACAGTTTTAATTTATTCCCAGAAATTTTGAAGGTTTATGGAATGTGTACAATTTATATACATTTTGTATGTGTTTATATATATATTGAAGGCAGTATCTTTAGCTTGAAAAGAAGTAAAAGGATAGAAGACAAAATGAAGAAAAGACAGATTCCCCAAAATCTTAATCTGCTACCTAACTGGTTTGAGCATTGGTAAGACGTTTATAATCCAAACCAGGTTGCTAACACCAGTTAATGTGACACAAAGCTGTTTTTTTTGGAAAAGAGTTCAGTGGAATACAAGATGACAGGCCACTGATGAGCCACAAGGAAGCAGGCCTCCAGGACAGATCTTTGAGCAAGTTCAGCGGAGGCAGATAATTTATAACTGGATTAGCTTACTTCAGTCCTTCATGGGTCAGAAGCTAAAATCAGACACTATTTACACTGAAAGGGGGAAAAAAAAAAAAGTATAAAAATATAATGAATCAGCTACCACCTGAGCTTGGATGATTATCCTTTAGAAGCCTTTTCAGTTATTTTCACATTAAAATGAGCTCCTAAGGGTGGAATTGCATTGGCAATACCAGCAGTTTAGAAACCAGCTACCTCTGTTCTTGTATCCCA